GGGGCCTGATTCTCAGGAACATGAGTATTGATTAAAGTGACCAGGAGATGGGACAAAGGAAGGGAGGGCAGAAAAGGTACTGCTCAGCCTTCAGCCTGAATTCCCACTGCCTTGCTATTCAGCAAGTTCGTCAGGATTTCCGTAGCATCAGGGGCCGGTAGACATGAGTTGTAAGGACAGACTGCTGAGCCCTTACAGTCCTGTACACATAAACACATGAAACACCCAAGAAACCTGAAATAACCATGCTGTCTTGTTTCTGGGGAGTCAACAGCACTCCTGGAGTCCCCTCTCAATTGCCCAAGGATGGCTGACAGGGTGTGTATGGTGATGTTAAGGAGGAAGGCAGGTCCCAAACTGAAGATTCCTTCTTGCATATCTCTCTCTGTAGGAATAACGGGCCTAAGTGATGCCGTAACTGCATGCGTATCTACACCAGTTCCTATGTACATGATACCTTTTCTAGAGAAATTTTAAAGTGCCTGGGTTCAAAGGTGCTCATTCCTTTCCCACAGCTACCAGTTCCTCTTGCTGCTTCCAGAGAGAAGGTTTGTCTCCTCTCTTAGGGAGGGCGCCCTTGGGAAAGAGGAATGAACACGTTCACAGTTGCTCTAACTGGGATCCAGCATCGGGACTAAGCCTTCTTCATACACACGAAGAATCGCTTCACACACAAACTTGTACTGGCTCTGGAAGAGAAAACGAAGCTGTGTCAAGCCCCTTGGCGCTAGGAGAGTGCATCATACCACAGACATGGTGGGCCTTTTGCATCATTTGTAGAGACTCCCTGAGCGCCAACTCGGCCGTGCACCAGGCAAGCAGAGATGCAACTGTGAACTCCTAACTCCTATACGATGGGAGGAGGGGAGCCCAGAGAAGGATGGGCAAAGTGTCATGGAAACATGACAGAAGGAACGACTAAGGGTTGGTGGGGGGAGATGAGGAAGGAGCAGGGGGGGTTCCTGTGGGGTGGCTGTTAGACCTGAGGAAACCCTGACAAAGACACCCCATTTTGAGAAGCACAGTCCGGGCCCCAACACCTGCGTGTGCGTTGGAGGAGGGGCTGCACAGGTGGGCTGGGGCCTGTGGAGTGCCCTGCCCGGATTTTTGTGCTAAGAGTCTCTGTAAAATACTAACACTTAAGAAACAAATCTTAGCAAAGTGAGGGAAAAAAAGTATTTAGACTGAGTTTCTCCAGCTAGGAAAATTTACCAAGATGATGGATTTTTTTTTTCCTTTTTTAAACCAGCAATGAGGTCTTCCATAGCACAAAAGAGGGCAGGGAATGACCTTAATAATATAAGCTGATTTTTTTCTCTTAGCCAGATTTCCTGGATACAAACTAACATAAAAACTACAAGAGCTGTAGTCTGTTAGGGAAATCTTGTAAACTTGGTCCACAACCTCTCCAGGTCGCAGGGCTGGCTGGAACATGGAGTTGCCGTTCCTTTCTTTGCTAAGTCCTCATCCACCCTGGGAGTTTTCCTCCAGGAAGCCTTCCTCGACTTTCCAAAGTCTGCTTCAGATACTCTTCTTCCGATGTGTCCTCAGACACCCCTGAACGTCCCCACTGCTGCTAAGATTTATAATAGACTCAGCCAGTTTTCCTGCTAGATACAAGCTTCTGTCTCTCCTGTTTACACAAGGTTGCTGAATGAACATGGGGTGGTCCTCATTCTGCAGATGGGGAAACAGAGGTGAAGGGCTATCCAAAGGTCTCTCACCATGTGGGGGGGACCTGACCCCCATTCTTTACCCGCCACTTTGCTGCCCCCCTTGAAATTCTGGGGGAAAACCCCAAGTTGTCCTTTTGAGAACATGTGCCGTGCTGAGCATCCAGATACCACAGAAGTGAGAGACAGCCCAAGGGGGGATAGTGTGGCTGACAGTGTACAACAACTGCTGAGCCAAAAGGCTACTCAGGCACAGGTGGGTGGGCTGAAGCCCTAGGTGACCCTGCTTCTGTCCAATGGCCCAAATCATGAACCAGCAGTTCCATAGTACAGGGTGGGACACCAGGGCTGCCCTGGCAGAGGGTCTGGCAAGATAAACCCAAGGCAGCAGAAGGGGAGGGCAGCAGA